AGCACATATCCTTCGTGAGGCGGTCGATCCCTTTGGCATTAGAGCGCACAGTATCCAGGACAACTCGTCCGTATCACACAGCTGCTAGACTTCAGCAATTGATCGATGTGATAATTTGGGCCCTCAAAAATCTCGCTGAGTCCCAAAGATCTAAAAAAGAGTGGGTAGCTTCGTTGGCCTGATGCCAAGGCAAGAGGAACGGAACAGAATGTGTTGCGCGGACGAGTTGTCCGGCCACAGCAGGATGTGGTAATTACGGCCTGTGCGCTCCAATGCCAATGGGATCGCGCCATATGACGCACACCCTAGCCTCCCTTCAAAAAGTGTCGGGTGCAGACCAAACACCACAACTGACGACGGCCTCCAAGTAAATCTGGTTAGAAGTTGTTCATAGTGATAGCTGATTTCTGGTAAATGATAGTTGTAATTAGTGACAATCGATAGAATACAACTGCAACAGGCTAATCATTTCATTGGCAGAAAACATTAACATTTGTGAAGGCCGTCGTCACTTGTGGTGCATGGTCTGCACCCGACACTTTCTCGCTTTTTGAAGGGAGGGTACGTGGCCTAATCCACGGATGTGAGATGAGGCTGTTGCACTTGCATAATTGTTCAGCTGTGGAAAATACTAACTGGAAAGGTGCGCTGGCATCAACTTAGGAGTTCACGATGAAAATGCAGTCCAGTAGTAAGCGAGGTGGGGTTAAGTGGCGCAGAGACGAAGAAAAACAAGGAAAAGCGGGCAGATTTCGAGGAATGGCACCCCTTCTTTGCCAGCTGATTCTTGCGCTGAGCTTTTTTCATAGGTGCAGACCTATTAAACCGAACACGTCGTCTAATAATAGGCCAGAGGCTCAGGCGGCGGGAGAGTGGGCGGGCCGTGGCGCTGGCGAACATGGCTATGATTAATCGCAGGGAGTACATCCGCCACTGCGAATTACGTGTCAGTCCGCAGCCTTACGAAGTCACCCATCTTTCTAGTGAATAGGTTTTCCTTCTGACGATAAGACGTTCGACCTCATCGTGGAATCCTCTTTCAAGCGGAGAGTAGGGGAGGGAGGAGGGAACTAGTGGGAGCGAAACTATTAGTTAATGGATGTCTAGTCATAAGCAGGGTTACGTTCTAATGTTTTCATATGACTGCGATCACCCACTCCAGCACCACATAAGCTCCTGAATAGTATGTTTTCCACCACTCCTTGAAGCGTTTTCGTAAAAACTGGGAAAAAGATGGAGTGGGAAGCGGAAGCTGTTAAAAGGTTTACAATTAATCCGAGAACACAGATGCACCATTATACACTACAACGCAAGCCGTATCCGGACCGAGATAAACCCGGCCTTTGACTTACTAAAAATCAGTGTATGTAATTGACTGCAGAGCAGATCCCCTTCCTTCTCTACCTTCACGGTCATGCATATGGGCGGTGTGAGGAACATTACCATCCAAATCGATAGCGATAATCGTCGAGTTCATTTATGATTCGGTGAGCACTAGAATACATGTTTGAATCTCTTCAAAGACCTTTGCAACTAGCGATTTCTCGTGAATGTAAGACGGGGTAAATCGGGAACATTTTAAGATGCACTCATTACATGAGCCATGTTCAGTCATCGTTTTCGTGTTTCGATGATATGTCAGAAACGCGCCTGAGGTACACCTTGTCTTCAATCAATTC